TGTGTGTGTGTGTGTGTGTGTGTGTGTGTGTGTGTGTGTATTTATGTGCCAATGATAATGGTGTGTCCTAAGGGGTTTAAAAAATAGTGAAGATATACATCAAAGGCTTATGAAATTCCAAAACATTAAAAAGTTTTGATTTCCACTAATACCAATGGTGTCATATGGTTCTACTTCTGGTTATCACTTTTTCAAATAGTTCTCCAGGCAAGGAATTATTAAAATAAAGATGTATACTTTGTTTTCAATCCTTTGATCAATATTCTATGGCTTAGAACCATCTTCTATCCTCAAGGTTGATAGTATAATAAAGCAACACACTTGCACTGCTAGAGTTAAGGATCTATCAGCAATTCCATAGTAATCTCTCATTTTCAGGGGTTAATAAACCATTGAAACTTGCTGTAGGTTGAATCTTGGCATATGAAGCTCAGCCTGAAAATGGATTTTGTTTATTCCTTCCCCATCTACTTCCCCCCTAAATCCCTCTCCAACTTTGACAGGAAGCGCACGCGCGCGCGCGCACACCCACACCCACACCCACACCCACACCCACACACACACACACACACACACACACACACAGGCCTTTTTTTTTAAGTTTTCAAGAAGGTATTAGTATCTATTTGAGAACCTCAAAACTATCTTCAAATTCTGCACTCTATTAAAATATCTGTATCACCCATGAGAAAGGGCCCAAAGGACAACATTAGAAGGAAAATCGCCCACCTAGAACAGTTATATTAACAAGAATTTACAAAAATTTAGAGGCAACCTCTGTCATTTCTTAACATTCTATTAATACATACATCATCTATATATAATGATAGGTACAGAAAGGCTATTTTTCAATTTACTCATGGGGCTGGTCACGATACATATTCTGAGGAGAAAATAGCTCCTTATTAAAATGTCCTGATGAAAACAGGAAACTTGCCACTCCTGAGTACACAGGGGGACACAGCTCAGTCCTTCTACAGACCAAACTTGCTACAGCCAAAGGGCACAGTGGTTTACCTATCCAGAACAATGTTTTATGAGGTGCAGGCTAAAGGGTGACACTTTGAGGAATCCTTATAATATACTAGAAAAACCATTACTTGACATTTCTATGCTGAAAAACAGAAGCGAAGTATTTATTATGTATTTCCATAATCACAGATTAAAGGTTTACATCACAGACTAGTGACAAGAGTCGGCAACTACATTACAAGACTACAGAAGTCATGTCTTCAACACCAACATTAGAAACTGGAACCTTGGAGTCAGCTCTTTCTATATGATCCTGCAATCATAAAACTGAACAGGCTTTGTACCCCTGCCCTAAACTACTAACACGCTCCTCTAGCCCAGTGGTCTCCAGTGGAATACAGGGAGAAAAATATTTGAATTTTTCTTTTTAATTTCTTATTAAAAATAAATTATTAATATATAGTAGAATATGCATATAATTGATAACTAAGTACACATATGTGGAAGTGTGTTCAATTTTTATACTCTAGGAATAAATGATGAGAAAAGTTTGGGGGGGGCGACTGCTTTAGCCTATCTAGCAAATTTCAGTTTCCTGTTCCTTATCACATATACATTATGGCTCTTTTTAGGTAAAAACTACCTTCTCCTTGCGAATCCTGCCAGTACTCTCATTAGGCTCATCCCTTTTCCGTCTCCACATTAACTTCACTGCTAGCTGGCCATCATCTTCTCAACCCTCTCATAGCCAACACCGTCCCCTATACTTTCCATTTCTTTCTCATGCAGTCCTTTTAGCTGTTTACCTTGACTAACCCACTTCCATGGCACGACCTCTCTTACAACCTTCTCCCTAAAGTAGTGTTCCTCTGACTCACTCCTACTCAAAGAGCAAAGGGAGGTCGGCAGAGATTTGCTCTATACTGCTGCTTTGGGAAAAAACATTCCACAACCATTATTTATCTATGTCTTCTGTTGAAATCCACTGCATCTTCATTGTTGCTACTATATTTGCACCAGGCTCATCTTCCTCTTCCCCCTGCCATCAGCTTTGGCAATTCTACCATTCAGTATCTTCTCTAACTTCCTTCACTCAGTTTAGATCTTCAACCCCAAGGAGCTTCACTGTCAGCCAATAAAACTTGAAACCTGCCACAACTATTCTCCTCTTTGACTACAACCTTCCATCACTTTATTTCTTCCAATGCTTTGACCCAGGAACTACTTCAGGGCACAGAGTTGATCTTTCTTTTCTTTTTTTTTCTTTCTTTACTTTCATTACACCTGTACTTTGAATTTATAGAGGGCTCCAGTTTCTTGTTCCCTCTGTTTTCTCCTCATTGGCACCTTCTTACCCCAACTTCTTTCCCTCATCAAACAGAAAACAGTTATGCCTAAAATAAAACACTCATGGTTATGTGCTTTATCCTCTGTATTTTAGTTTTCTGTATTACTTTTCTACCCTGTTTTCTTGCCTTCCATGGTTTTTATTACTTCTCTTTTCTTACTGGTAAAAACACATGTAGTGAAAGAAATTAATTTTCCTCCTACTAAAGTCCTAAAGAGGTCAACAACTGTGGTGTAACTCTGTCAATCTGTCTCCTTTGTTATTTCCAAAAATATTTTCCTGGTGTTACATCAAATCATGTTACTTCTGTACAATTTCTTTCCTGTATATTCCAAAACCCATCATGAAAATAGACTATAAGAGAGCTATATCATTCTTCCTGTAGATTAGAATTCTAGAAAACAAAATCCTAAGGGGTGTGTATGTGTGTGTGTGTGTGTGTGTAAAGAGATAAAGAGAGACAGGCTCGGGGTGGGGCAGGAGGGAGAGAGATGAAAGAAAAGCAATGCTTTAAATGTAGGTTTAACTTAAAATCTAGGCATTGCTTTAGAAAAGGAATGTTAGAAAATTAATAATCCTCATTTAAAAAAACTGTCCATGACCTCTCAAAGTGGCAGTAGTGGAGTTGGTGGGAGTGAATTCTTAGCTCATGCTAGGCATTATCTATGGCAAACGCACACTAAGTCACACAGAAATTCCCACTACTAAATAATCTTTCCCCTCAGTCTCTTTTTATCTTTCTTGATGTATCTGGAAAAATGTTATTTTACTTCCTATCCAGTTTACATTCCACGGCTCGGCCTTTCAAAGACTCTCCCAGTACTCTAAGCACCCTTGTCGCATAGCCCTATTGTTTCATCTACTTGGTAGGCATCTATCCTATCTACCTTCTCCCGACCTGCACCCAAACTCTAGGTGATGCTGAGAGGAATACATTCACACTCTGTATTTTCAGAGTCATCAATCTCATCTAGGTACTCAGTACACCTTAGCAACCCTATCGTGATTCTCTGGTAAATTCGCTTCCCCACTTTCTGCAAAGACCAGTTATATTTCTCCACTTATCTTGAAACTGCTTCTCTATCTCAGTCGATGGCCTCACCTACTTTACAGACAAAACAGAAGCTATCGGAGAGGAACTACATCAACTTCCTGCTACCACATCTACACATTTACCTGCACGCATCCTTTCCTCTTTTCCATCCTTTCCTCTTTTCCACCCGATAAATAAGGAGGTGGCTCTTCATGTAATGTCACGTGTTCCTGGATCTTTCTTCCTTCCCCATATGGAACCTTGGGCTATGGATTATTTATGTCTTCTCCACTCCCACAGCCTCCTTCTTTCAACTGGCATCTTTTCATTGACGCTTAAATATATTCAAGCCTCTTTTATCCTGTCTTCTTTGTTTTATAGCAAAACTATCTCAGGAAGTCATCTATGTCTTATATTTTCTCTTTATTCCTTCTACTTATGCTGCATTTCCTGCAATTTGGCCTTTATCCCACCATGAAAATGATCAGAGCCTTAGGTAATTATAATAAATATTGTTTGTTTTTTTCTTCCTACTTCTTCTTCAGTCCTTTTTGTAGATTCCTCCTATTCCACTTAAACAATAATGAGCTCTTCAAGGTTGGATTCTGGGTCTCTTCTTGTCTCACTCTAAACCTTCTTCTCAAAATGTATCCTCTGGGTCAGCAGATTACCTGGGAACCTGTTAGAAATGCAAACCTTGATCTGGTAATACATATAAGGCAGTCACAACAGTTCCTGGCAGAGTACATGATACCTAGTATTTTGGGCTATTCCCACTCTCTCTGTTGTAGCTGCATGACTTATTTCAAGCCTTTCAACATATCTTTCTTACCTCAGCATTTTAGTAGAAAGTGTCCCATCCCCCATCTTATTCATTCTTCAAGTTTCATTTTCTTTCTGCACATATTCTTACTATTATATGGTCCCAAAGCATCCTGTACTCATTTGTAATAGTTACTACACTGTTAATTAAGTAAACAGTACCTGTCTTTCTCACTAGAATGTAAATTTCTACAATGAGGGCCAGAAATGGATTGGTCTTACCTATTGCTGTGTCTAGCACAGTACCTGGGAGATAGCAGGTACTATTGGGTTGTTGGAAAAGTCATGACACATTTTTGCAACAAAAAACATAGAAAAAATATGTCATGACTTTTCCGACAACCCGATATATAAATGTCCGCCAAGTGAATACATGTTATCTACTTCTGTTTTCAAAAAACTTTCTCAACCTTAAGTTCTATTATATTCGGCTTTTCTATTTTTCCGCATATCTCTCTCTGACTACTCTTTCTCTGGCTCATCTTATCATTGTTGTTCTTGGTACTGATCAAGTATCTGTCCTTGTCTATCTTCATTAGTTGTGGCACCAATTTCTTCCCTGGTAATCTTATGTATATCACATTTTCAACTATCATCTCTAGGCAGATAGTTTCATGTTTATCCCTACTCCAATCTCTCTTAAATTCGAATCCCACAAAATTGCTCAACAGACACATTGGCCTGATTGCCCTAATAGTATCTCAAGTTCAACTATGATTAAAATTAAGATTATTAATATCTTCCCCAAAAGTTCCTTGTCCTACAATTTCTTTCAATAAATGACACATCTCTCTATTAATCAGGTCCGGGGCTTAAATCTATCCCTCACTGATTCCTCCTCTATTCCTTATATACAAACAATCAGCAGGCCTTTCCTGTGGATTCTGACTCTGTAACATTTCTCACATTTGTTCCCTATTTTTTTCACTTCTACTGCTACTACTTATATTGAGATCTTTGTTAGCTTTTTTGTACTATAGCAATAGTCTATTTTAACACTGTTGACTTTAACACCGTTGCCATATTAATATTCCTGTAACACATTTTTCTTTTTAAATTTTTGTCCTCAAAAATTAAGGCTTCCCACGGCCTTCAAAATAAAGCCCAATTTCTTGGCCTGGTGTTTAATATTCATTAACTGGCACAAAAATTTTAATTCTTCATCTTGATCTTCCTTACAGCAGAGCCATTAGCTGGCCTTGCCACTTATACTTATTTATTTTTTCTCTGTCCGGGAAGCTTTTTAAACCATTTTTAGATTTCCAACTCCTATTTAGATCCAGTACAAACATTACTTCTCAGAAGGAGTCTACTCACAGCTGGTGAGTCTTTCTCCACCCCAAATACTACTAATAATCTCCTCCTAGGATGTCTTGTAGTACTTTCTCATGGTACTGGGACCTTCTACCTTGAACCATACATACTCTTTTTTTAATTTTTTTTATTTTGCACAAGTATTATATTCCCTATAAAACTCTTCAGCATTTTATGGGGAAGGCCTACATTTATCTTTTTGTCTATCACTTTGCTAGTTTGCAAAGTACCACAAAATAATGGCTATAAAATTATTAAGCAATCAAAGTATAATGGCCTTTTCTCTCCTACACAATTTTAACCATTTCCAAAGCCCCTTCACAAAAAGCAACAGAAAAGAAACTCAAACCTATCATTGCCCTTCCCCCAATCCCTAAACATCAAAAAAACCCAAAAGCAAAAACCGAAAACAGGTCTTTCATGACTGGGGCCTTGTACAATGCTCCTATCTGCAATGCATACTTCCCTATCCTTCATCTGGTTTAAATTCATTAACCCACTGAACTGTAAATTCCATGAGAGCAGGGGCTTTTTAAATTATTATTATTATTCACAGTTATATACCTAGAGCTTGGAACTTGACAAGTGCTCAAATATATTTATTGAGGATTTTGTTGACATAACGGGGCGTCTGAGATCTCTCCAACCTAAACTGGGTCTTCATATATAAATATATGCTTTCCCCTGGATCCTGTTTCCCACCCTACATGCCAATCTTAAAAGAAGCCCAGAGTTGATCATCTGCATGTGCAGCACATGAAGGAAATTGACCCTGCTCACGCAGAGTGCAATATTAGGCTTGTCATCTCATAACGGCTCTAGTAAGCTTTGCCCTTTATGTCTTTGCAAGTTCTTGCAATGCTTTCTAATAAGCATCCTTTTAAAGATGCTGCTCTTTTCATTCCTGCACTGCGATCTTGGCCCTGGGCTATACTGATACCTTAGGGACACGTATGGAAACGCAGGGAAGGTTAGGAGGACCCCAATTCCAAACCAACCAAGTGTCAGAGAGCCTGAAAAGCGACAGCGGACACTAAGAAAAGGAATGCCAATCTTCTGATCAAAACACCATAGGTCTAGCATGGGGGAAGGTCCTTGAAAGGGAGCCCGAGAGAAGATGAGTGACGGAAAGAGGAAGGTGTACAGAGAAGTCGCCATAACCTTCCGTGGAAGGTCCGAGACCAGGTTCCCAGGACCTGCCCCGGGGGCTGCGTCCTCGATCCGAGTGCCCCAGCCCGCAACACCCTCGGAGGACGCAGAGCCCTCAATGGAAGGGAAGAGCGGTCAGCCTGGGGCGCAAGGATCGCCCGCAAATCACGAGGTTTCCCACAAGAGGTGGGGAAACTAAGACCCCACGGAACTATTCTCCCACCTCATCGCGCGCGGAGGTCTCGAGCCTCCCAGAGGCGGCTGGGAGGAGGGTCGCTCGTCACAACTCACCGCTCCGCCCCGCCACTCCGTGGGTTCCCGTAGCCCCTTCCGAACCGGTCCCGGCACCAGGCAGCTCTGAGAAGTTCCCGCAGCAGAGTCGAGGGGGAAAACTTTCGCTGTGCCACGGGCGGAAGTGACGTAGCCCGTCTCCTTCCGGTCCGCCGGATTATGAATAACGGCCGGCGCCGCTATTTTTCAGACGAGTTGTCTGTTGTTTCTCTCCCTGCCTGTCTGGTAGCCAGTGGTCCGGCTGGCGAAGACCCCAGAAGCGGCCTCGGAATCCCGGCTCTGACGGGACTGGAAGGCGCAGGCGGCCCCTGTCGCCGATGTGCACACGCACCCTCCCTGCTTGGCCGCGCCTCTGCGACCAGGTAAAGAGGGCGCTCGGGCCGCCGGCTCCGCAGTCCCCAATGCTGCTTTTTGCATCCAAGGGCGACAGGACTGATGATGCAGCGGTGGGGCAGAGGCGTGGGATTAGGGTCCTGATCTCTCCCCGGCCCCTCTGGCTACAGCTTCGGAGGGTGCAGGTAGAGGGAGGACTCCAGGCCCCTTCTTAGGTCCCCAGGGCCGATCCCCAGTGGCTTCCTCTGCTGGCGGGGGGAATGGAGCAGCTTCTGCTTGTAGGAGTCAGTGGGGGATCGTTTGCTGTTTGCTGCTGAGACCTCTTGGATCACGCTTTAACTTCTTTTTTTTCTCTTTGGCACTTACTTTCCCATTTCAGCCCTTTCTGATGGGAGAAAGCAGTTCTATGTGCGTACTGCTTAGCAGTTGCTCCTAAGCACTAGCTTCAGTTTGGGCTTTCGCTTCTGTCGCACCATCAGTGTTTCACTTCGGTTTTCAACTTCTGTAGAAAGTTTGAGTTGAACTTGCATGAGAACTGCTTTGGCTTCAAAAACGTTTACTAATAATACACGTACTTCCCACCCCAGCTCTATACCTGGTTTTGGGATTAGATGACATTTTTTTTCCCCTCTTTTATTCTTAATGCCAGGATCCCTTAATGCCAAGATCCCATTTCTTGTCGTAAGTTCTTGACTGTCAAGGAAATGCCAGCATTTAATAATATACCTTGTGCTAAATTATTGATAAAGGAGGTAGAGGACTACTTTTGTAAGCTTATCTATAGAAAGTATTTAAAGGAGAAAAATGCAAAAGCTGGCAAGAACTAGTGATGTGACCATTTTAAACATGTAAACATGATCATTTAAATATTGTAAAAATAAATTGTTATAAATGCAACTGAGTGATTTTCTGTCATATTTAATAAACCAAAACATTAAACTATGCGAGTTTTTTTTTTAACTTCTTGGTGGGGAATATACACTACTGAGGATTGCCTTAAGCATACTCATCATTTGAAATTGTGTTTGAGATATACCTGAAGGCATCATTTTAATAGGTCTCAATAAGCTTGTGAAAAAAATCAGTGAGATTTGAGAATCTTTTTTATCAATTCTTTTGTTATTCTTTTTACACTTCTACTACTGGTTTGCCTGCCTTAAAGCTCAAACTTCTGTGTTTGGCCTATCAAGTTCATTTTAAAATCTGTGTTTACTTTGTAGCTTTTGTATCACCTGTGATTTGAAATAATAAATACTGAGTATCTGCTTGGCCTTTCAAACAGCAACAATTTAGCAGTCCTTGAAACTTAAATTCTGAGGCCAGTCAACTAAAACATCTGTAGTATACACAATTCTTTAGTATATGTTGTTTTTACCTTCAAGTAGTCAAAGTAGCCTACTGAATTTTGTTATGATTAGTACTTGGAATGCAAGGATGTAAAACCATTTAGATCATAACAAGCATAGGTATTGTTTGCTGTGGGGAATCAGTAATTTTATTTCAGGCTTGCTGTTGTTTCTAACATGTTAGCACTTCATGTTGTGAATCCCTATTAATTATGAGGTCAGGCTTAGCTACAAGCATTATGATTATAGGGCAACAAATGATTACCTGATTCTCCAGAGATAAGATGACACCTTTCTCTTATGGCTAAAGTTACAGTAAGCTTTTTTACTTCTAAACAGTTTTTTCACTACTGTCCAGATAAGAAAACAGCATATTTTAACTATAGTAATGTGATGAGCACTGAAATAGCTCTTTTTTTCTGTCCTTTGTTAATTGTCAGTATTAAAGTATTTAGCTGCTGTCTAACTCTTTAGGGGAAGGTGTTTTTTTTTTTCTTTTTAATCTGTATTATTGTAAGAAAAAAGTGTTAGATTTGCAACCAAATAGTGTTGTTTTGTGAAATGTGTAAAACATGAGCTAAGTTCTAATATCCATAATGTTGAGCATTTGGTATATTGGGTTGTCGGAAAAGTCATGATGCATTTTTGCAATGAAAAACAAAAAATACGTCATGACTTTTCCGACAACCCAATAGTAGGGAATTTAAATGGGTTTAAATTTAAGTCCTAATCTCTAAGAAAAATAAGAGTTTATAGTTTTTCTCTACATTTAAGTCCTAATCTCTAAGAAAAATAAGAGTTTATAGTTTTTCTCTACTTGTAAACTGTTGAGCTATTTATTTTGTACAATATAAGCAGTTGATATGCATGTGAACTTAGGGTTTCATGTTTATTTCTACCATTTTGTGAGTCCCTTGTTTTCAGCCTCGGTAACAGATTTTTTTCACTATTTGGGGGGAATACCTTTTTAATCCACCATGAACTCCTTACCTTTCCTGAGAAGAAGTTTGGCAGTATAAAGCATAATTTGAGCTTGACCATCAAAATTTGTGCATTTTAAGAGTGTCAATGGATAAGAAATTCTGGGATGCATTATAAATAAATAATAATAGCTAATATTACTAAGGGGCTTATGAATGTAATAGGCATTGTTCTGTTCTTACAACACACTACATGGTAAATGCTGTTATTATTGTCCCCATTTTGTAAATGAGGAAACTAAGGCACAGAAAATCTTTATATATTGCTACTACATATCAGGACCAGGATTTGAATATGGTTAGTTAGCTCCAAAGCCTAGACTCTTATTCACTACTTCATAATTCTTGGTATATTAATATTCTTACTTGTTAATATACTTACTTGCTAAGTAAGTATACAGAATATAGTTAGATTCCTACTTCTCTTGCCAGAATATCAATATACATAAAAACATCTATGCTTGCTTTACTTACCTGTTTTGGTGGATTCTATTTATTCATTTTCCAGTTCAGCTCATAGGTGATCTTGTTTCTTCATTTTAATTTATACATAGATGGCTCTTCAAATAGATTTATTCATCTGGAAGAGAAAGAATGGTGTCAAGAAGATTGGGGTTCATCTTGTGCCAAGACTACAGTTCAACAGTACTCTCATTACAGTGATTACTGATATTCATTTATGTACATTCATTCATTTATTCATTACTTGGACTAAATTTTGAGTACTGTTAAGCATTGCAGATGTAATGTCAGGTAATAAGTGCTATACAGTTAAAGAAAGCAGGATAAGGGGCTAGTGAGTGATGGGAGTGCTTTTTCAATTCAGGTTGTCAGGAGAGGCTGCTCTGAGTTAATATTCAGAGACCTCACTGAAATGAAGGAGCAAACCATGTGACTATCTTGAAGAAGAGCATTCTATGCAGAGGAACAGCAAGTACAAAAATTCTCCAGTGGAAGCATTCCTGGCATCTTCCAAGAACTGCAAAGAGAACTGGCTGGAGAGGAGTGAGCAAGAGTCAGGCGGGGTAGGAGATGAGGTCAGAAAAGAAGATAGCTGGGGTCACATCACATCGTATAGGCCGAAATAGTAAATTTTGATTTTATCCTGTGTGTACCTATGTGGAGCCATTGGGTGGTTGTAAATGGGGCATGATCTGATCTTTGTTTTTAAAGGATCACCCTCACCATTGTTGGAGCACTGACTTGTGAAGAGTGGAGGAAAATAGTTAATAGGCTTTTGTATTGGTCCTTGTAAGAGCTGATGATGACTTAGATTAAGGTGAAGGTGATAGTCGTAGAGGTGCTAAGATGTTGGATTTAGTATATATTTCAAAGTTAGAAATAGGTTATGAAAGAGAAGAAAAGACTTCAGAGTTCCAGGCCTGAGCATCTGGATGTATGGTTGTTGCCATTTTGCCAAAAAGGAGACTACTAAGGTCCACCCATGCCGCTGCAGATGGCAAGAACCCATTCCCTTCCCTGGCTGAGCAATATTCCACTGTATATATGTACCACCTCTTTATCCATTCAGCCATCAATGAATGGACACCCAGGCTGACTCCACATCGTGGCCATTGTAAACAATGTTGCAATTAATACAGGGATGCACATGTCCCCTTGAAGTAGAGTTTTGGGTTTCTTCAGATAAATACCCTGAAGTGGGGTTATTGAGTCCTTCTTTGTCTCTTGTTATATATAGTCTTGGTTTTAAAGTCTATTTTGTCATACTGGTATCAGTATTGCCATCCCAGCTTTTTTTCTTTTTTTTTCATTTCCATTTTCATGAAATATCCTTTTCCCGTCCCTTTACTTTCAATCTTTGTGTGTCTTTTGATCTGAAGTGAGTCTCTTGCAGGCAGCATATGTGGGGTCTTATTTTCTTATCCGTTCAGCCACATTGTCTTTTGATGGGAGTATTCAATCCATTTACATTGAAAGTAATTGTTGATAGGTATGTAGTTATTGCCATTGTATTATTCATATTCCTTATCTTTTTTTTTTCCATCTTAAAGAAGTCCCTCTAACATTCCTTGTAATACTGGTTTGGTGGTGATGAACTCCTCTAGCTTTTTTTGTCTGGGAAGCTCTTTATCTGTTCTTTGAATCTAAATGATAGCTTTGCTGAGTAATCTTGGTTGTAGGTCTTTTCTTTTCATCACTTTGAATATTTCCTGCCAGTCCCTTCTGGCCTGCAAAGTTTCTATTGAGAAACCAGCCGACAGTGTTATGGGAGCTCCCTTGTAGGTGACTAACTGCCTTTCTTTTGCTGCTTTTAATTTTCTCTTGTGTTTAACCTTTGTCATTTTAATTATGATGTGTCTTGGTGTGGAACTCTTTGGGTTCATCTTGTTTGGGACCCTGCTCCCTGGGCTTGTATATCTATTTCCTTCACTGGCCTAGGAAGTTTTCAGTCATTATTTCTTCAAATAGGTTTTCAATTCCCTGCACTCTCTTTTATCTTTCTGGTACCCCTATGATGTGAATGTCGGAATGCTTGATGTTCTCCCAGAGGCCCCTATATATATATATATATATATATATATATATATATATATATATTTAATTCTTTTTGCTGTTCTGTTTGGATGTTTTCTGCTACCTTGTCTTCTAAGTCACTGTTTTGATCCTCTTCTTCATCTAACCATTGATGCCCTCTAATGTCTTCTTCATTTCAGTTATTGTACTCTTTATTTCTGACTGGTT